TTGGCCTTTTCAGCAATAAAGACAGTTTTTTTTTATCCCCTGGGTACATTGGAATCTGGTTGTAACCAGAGTAGGCATCCATGAAAGACAATAATCGAAATCCAGCCGAATTGTCTACCAGCTGGTCTATGTTAGGCATAGGGTAGGAGTCTTTTGGGCAGACCTTATTCAAGTCCGTATAATCAGTACAGACTCTCCATTTCCCGTTTGGTTTTTTCACCATCACAACGTTCGCAAGCCATGTTGTGTAATGTATTTTCCGAATGAATCCGGCATCCAGCAACTCCTTCACGTGTTTCTCCAGGACTTGTTTCCTTTCTGGTCCCAACTTTCTTTTCTTTTGAGAGACCGGTATGGATCCGGGGTAAACTGCCAACTTGTGGCAGCAGAAGACGGGAGTTATCCTTGGGATTTCTGATGATTTCCAGGATAATACATCCGTGTTGCTCTTGAGGAACCTGACTAACTCTTCTTTGACTTAAGGATCTATGGTCTTACCAATTCGGGTAAATTGGCCAGGTTTTTCCCCGAGTACGAGGTTTTCTAATTCCCCATCGGGCTCAGGGCTCGAGATTACTTCTTCTCTCATGTCCAGTTCAACCACATTAACAGGCTTCCTTCAATGGTGAGGAATTGTCTTCCTGATGAGTTTGTCCCCCGGATGTCCGCCTTCGTTCTCCTTGACAGTGTCAAAGTAGCATCCTCTGGATTCTTTTTGATCTCCACAAACAGTGATTATTTCATTCTTGTTGCTTATCATCTTTATCTTCTGGTGCTTTGTAGAGACCAGCATATCCCATTGGTGTATGGTTGGTCTTCCCAGAATTATATTATATTCTGATGGGAAATCGGCAACTATGAATCTGACCCGTTTTGATTTGGACGTTTCCTTTGTTCCCAGGGTCAACTTGAGGTCTATATAGCCTTTAGGAGGTGTATGCTCTCCGTTAAAAGCTATCAAGGTTGTTTTGCAAGGTTTGAGGTCCTCCTCATCAAGATTCATTTTTTTGAAAGCATCCCACAGTATAATGTCGGCACTACTTCCTGCGTCGACGAAAATCTTCTTAACTCGGCAGTTTACCAAGGTTCCAGCAATGACTAATCCGTCTACGTGTCCCGGTAAAACACCATGCATGTCGTCCTTTGTGAAATACAACAGAGGAGGGTCTGGTTTGCTAAGGTCTTCTTTGAATTTGGGTCGATCCCGGATAGAAAGGATCTCTTTCAGATACTTTCGTCTGGCACTTACAGTGTCTCCTCCTCCTCCAAGGGCTCTACTAATTACGTTACAGTCAAATTCCGCTTCCGGGAATTCATCATGGTTGGAATCTTCTTTCTGGTTCTTTTCATCCTTGTTTTTCTTTTCAGGGACCAGGCTTACTTCTCTTTCGGTTTCCAGAATTCCTTTTGTTATTTTTGGAACCCTGGGTTTTGATCACGTACTAGCGTAATCTTCCATCTCTAACCAATTTCTCCACAACATCTCAGAGATCTCAGCATTGATCTGTGGTGTGAACCGGTTCATCATGGAAAGCACAGTACTTGGACTTATCCAAACCTTCTATGTCGAATATGGACCGGGGTGTATTTCTTCATCTTCGTTATTGCCACTTCCCTCCAGATTTGAGAGCGTGAGGCATTCAACAGCGTGTATTTCTCGTATCATTCAATCCGATCTCGGCCATCCGGGATTCTGGTTCTAGAGTCTTTCTCCTTATTACCAGTTCGCTCTTTTTCTTTCGGGACCAGGCTTCTCCTTCTCGGGCTAATTCTTTTACCTTCGTCAAATTGCACATTTGCAATCTCCATTTGCTCGAGTTCGAGGTACTTTTTGGAATGGGTTTTGAATTCTTCCAACGTCCTCACTGGGTCTTTATAAACTGACTTGGCTAGCCTGGATGCTCCATCCAAGCCAGCCACAATGAGATGTACGTGGACATTCTCTTGTAAACCCGACACCTACAATGCAGCATCCTTGAATCGGTTGAGGGATTTATGGAGAGTTTCTCCGGGTTGTTGACGTATCTTTCCAAGTGCGAACTCGGATTTGGGATGTTTCTTTGCATGTCGCAAAATTTAAGAGGAACTTCTCCCCAAAATCCTCAAAGAACCCGATGGAGTTGGCAGGTAAGGTAGAGAACCATGCCTGCGCAGCCCCAGTCAGAGTTATGGAAAATATCCGAGATATGAGGGGCTCATCTATCCCCCGACTGTATATGTCCGTATCAAAAGCAATGATGTGGACCTGTGGGTCTTGACTTCCATCATATTTCGGCAATCGCACCGACTCAAAATCTTCTGGGAAGGGAGCATTCAAAATCTCTCCAGAGAAGGGGCTGTTATTATACTGCTCCCTGCTATATTTTCTTCTGTAGGCACCAGGTTCCACGCGCCCTCTAATGATCTATGCATTCTGGTTGGGGTGAATTCCATCCTGGTGTCTCTGCCCATTTGCTTTTATTGAAGCATTTTGAGTCAGGGCCTGCACAACAGCGTTCTGGTCACCCATTGTCAGGTTTTCCAGGTTCAGATTCATCGTGCTCATCGGATTAGGCCTTTCCCAGTTTTCCACCTCAATAACCTGGTTTTGATGATCCGAGTTGCGATTTCCTTTTCGGCTATTGGCATCCTGGCCTTCGGTTCCTCTCGCCCCTGGTTCAGTCACCCTCATTAAACGATGTTCTAGATCTCGCATTCTCCTAGTATTCTCTTTCTGTATCCTTTGAAAGTCTTGTTGCCGCTGGAGGTTATTACGATTCTCCATCTCCGTCATTCGCTGCAAAATTGCAGCAAACGCATTTTGAGCCAGTCGAGAGTCAGGATCGGCGGACTGGGCAACGTTGGCAGCCAACTCCCCAGGATGTTGGTGGGGGTTGTTCAGAATTGGAGCCGCAACTCGGTTGCGGGGTGCTGGAGTGGAGGCTGTATCTGATACGTCCTCGCTGATATGGACGTGATTATAATCCACATCATTTTCAGGCTGGTTTTGAGGTTGTTTCACCTATTCCACAACTGGATCCAACGGTTGATTCTGGTTTTGGGGTGGTTGCTGGCTACTGTTCCTTGTGTGGACTACCATCCTTAGTCAGATTCGTGGGAATATCAAACTCCAAGTTCAGGAATTCCCCACAGACGACGCCAATGTTTTGTCCTTGGGACAGACATATCTAGCCCAATAGGTTGGTATGTTACTCTTGGATCTAGTGCACTCTCCAAGGTATCTATTGGAGAGATACCCTTGAGTCAAGTAGATTACTGTGCACAAAATACTATTAACGGCATTAGCCAATGGGGTGTGTGTGTGCGCACAGTGACAACATAACAGTAAGAGAGAGCGTAACGTACCTTTAGGGTTTACCTTGTATTTATAAAGGTTACCTGTGGGTAGTGTGGATGGGCCTTTGGTGCCTCTGATAAGGGCCCAGACCTGCTTGCTATGTTGTCGTATTAGGATTAGTATCCTTGATGAATATCTATCCGTGATTACATTAGATTTACATCTTAGATAGCCCTTTATTGGGTCTGTCACTTAATGGGTCCCTTATACGGGTCCATAATAATTACCATACAAAGATAGAAATAAATATAAAACATTAAATATGAGGAATCATAACCATACAAAGGTGAAAATAAATATAATATTTCTATTTTCTACAATTAATTTTGAACGCAGACTTCCTTTATCTTACCTAAAACGACGTAATTTCTAGGTGACTCTATCAATGCTTATGTACAGTCACATTACGAATCACTTTGTCACACACACACACACACATATATATATATATATATATATATATATATATATATATATATATATAATGAGAAATTTCTTAATCTATAATCACTCTCCATTCTCAATTAATACTTTGATCCCCCACCACCACTCTTGGATTACTGGTCCTATTATTTTGGGAGCTGCAAAGCAAATATCGTTGCCTTTTCTCGAATTCTTTTTCTTTATCTTTTTTTCCGTAACAATGTTAAAAAAAAAGATAAAAAAAGGTTTTCTCTTGTTTATTTCACGTGCATCGCTCCTTAATTTTGTTTCCTTAAAACATCTGTTACTTGCTATTGATAAATGCATTGATAAAACCTATATTACACCCGCACCAATATCGGACACGACATGATACGATACGTCGATATGTTAATTTTAAAAAATATTAAATTTTAAGGTATTAAGATATATTTTGATATTAAATAATATATATAATATAGTTTATCTTTAATACACATACCAGCTCATAATAATTCATATAGTCAATCAAATATTCAAATTCTATAACATAAATATAAAGTAAAAATAATTTTTCATTTCAAATTTTATAACAAAAATTATTTGATTTATAAATTAATTTTTTATATTTAGTAAAAAAAATAAATTTTAGATATGAAAAAAAAATGTCAAAAAAAACCATTTACCGTTATGCATCTTTCACTCTGAATAATGTATCCGTTTTCAAAATAAAACAGACCACTTGCTTGTAAAAAGAAAAAGAAAAAAAAGAAAAGATCAGTTGCTGACAAAATAGGCAGAGCAGACCTTCTACCGAGAAAGTTAAGGAAAGCATAAAATGGACCAAATAATTTACATAAGTTTTTGCGCCAAATAACAAATAAAATAAACATGGAATGATAAGAGAAAAATAAAAGTTTTTGGCATTTTTTTTTTGTCAACAATTATAGTCATCATTTAACACAATAGATCTTTAGTGTTAGTTTTAGCACTTTTATTTTGAAATATATGTTTGTTAGTACATGTTCTCACTTGATCTTATGCAAATAGGTGATAACTTAAAATTTATCAAAGTTCGCAATTCATCTTAAAACAGTACATTAACTGTTCATCCAAAATTATTTTTTTGCAGAAGAAAAAAAAAAGGTAGTAATTTATCGTTAAACAAGAAGTACAAGTCTTACAAAATTCTACAGCTTATCTGTAGCTTATACTTACACTAGAGTTTAATATAGTAGGAAAAGTACAGGGGGCACATGTAACGCAGGTCAGGGCAATCATCTACCGAAACATCACAAATTTTTCCCTAATCCCCATTTTACCCCTGACATCCTTCAATTTTTACATGACGGTGCAAGCATTTGGGTTCTCATCGCTGAAGATCTGGGGTGGGTACTCTTGGTACACTTGGTAGGACGCAGGGTATGCTTGGTAGGACGCAGGGTATGCATACATTTCCATTCCATTCCTTTGTGGGTAATACTGGTATTCGTTCTTCTTCACCTCTGCCACCATTGTTTCTTCTATAGTTACTTCTTCCTCTTGTTTGGCCTCACCTTCTGCTTCTTTCTTCTCCTTGTTTTCCTCTCCTTCACTCTTCTTCTCCTTATTCTCTTTCTCTTTCTCTTTCTCTTCTTCACCTTTCTTCTCCTCTTTGTCTTCTTTCACTTTCTCATTCTTCTCTGGTTCTTGCTTCAATATCACTGCTTGCTTCCCAGTTCGTTTGTACACGTATTCAACTAACATCTTAGGATCATACACACCCTTCACCGTCACAACCGAGTTCTTCATATCAGGTTCCGCTGATTCCACTCCTGCACAAATATGGTAACATAAATCACCAACCCACTTGAACGCAAATTAAAAAAAAAAAAAAAACAAAGCAAAGAATTGAATGATGGGATTTGGTGTTAATTAAATGCAATATTAAATGCGATTATAAAGTCACAAAATTTGACCTCAATTGCATCACTTTGAGCTGAAATCTGACAACTTTAAATATTTTGTTACTCGAGTTTAAAAAGTGCTGGAATAATGGAATGCGAATATTAGAAATCTAGAATAATCTCTTTGACATGAGAGATTCAAACAGTAAAGCAAAATTCTAAATTGTTTTGTTGAATTAATCCGATAACAGATCTTATTACATACCCTTCATTCTCAGTATACGTCTCTTGATTTCTTGTGCACAAGCTTCGCAATGCATGTTAACTTTCAGAACAACAACTGTGACAATCTGAGGCTGCAAAAAAGAGTTATTGACAATTGTTGAGGAGCAAGTAAAATAGAAAAGCAACCAAAGATTCAAAAGCACTTTATCAAACTCGAATTGTTCATCCACTCCGATATTGGGTCAATAAGTCATGGGTTCAACTAATAAATAATTGATTCAATTGCATAAATTAAATATATAATAAAACATAAAATTAAAAACATTTTAGCTAATAATTAGAGTTGATTTAATGATAAAATTTATATAGTCTAGATTTAAATTTCATTAGTGCTATTTATTAAGTATTTTGTTCCAAATTCCATAAAACATATTTAAAAAAAAAAAAATCAATTTAATACTAATTAAACCCAGTTTAAAACCAATTCTCATATCGGGTTAAATACATAATTGATCCAATATCTAAATCGGACCAATTACAAATCCGGTTTACTGATCAATCAGTAAAATCAGTCCGTCGGTTTTTATAACACTGTTCAAAAAGAATCAAAAAAAAAAAAAAAACCTCTTCTTTTTTCTCTTCGGGCTTGGGCTTCTCTTCCTCTTGAAGCTTTTTCTCCTCCGTTGGTTTTGGGATCGGAGAAAGAAGCTCAACGGGTCTGTGACTCTTCCTCTGTACTCTCTCCAAAACCTTAACTGGATCCGCTTTTTCTCCTTTAACCACCACCTTGTGAGATTTGCAATCCGTGATTACATCTTCAACCCCTGCCCTCAAACATCAACAACAACAACACAAGTTCAGATGAAGCCACGAATCAAATGATGCAAAATTTAAGGTTGTAATAAAAGTGATACCTGGGAGTCCTTTGAGAGAACGACGAACCTTGCGAGCACAACCTTCACAATGCATGAACACTTTGAGCACAATCTCTGGAGGAACAGCAGCTTCGGCTTTGGATTCTTTGCCATCTTTAACATCTTTTGATTCCTCCGGTTTTTTCTCTTCGACCGGTTTTGCTTCTTCTTTCTTAACCTCTTCTTCCTTTTTGGTTTCCTCTGGTTTCTTCTCCTCCTCCTCCTCCTCCACTTTGGTTTGTTCTGATTTCTTTTCTACCTGAACACAAAACAAGGTACAAATCAGAACCAAAGAACCATAACGGGGAAAAATCATATATAAATATAATGATAAGAGAAACAAAGCTAGAGAAGAGTTATCGAGACCTCCCCCATTGGCGTTACTCTTTGTGTTCAACCTACTCAGAGGGACCCTGCCGTTGAGATAAGCTTCTTGGAGCTGCTACTTTTGTGGTAATTTTGCCCCTTGTTTCTTCCTCGTAGTTTGAGTCTCTCTTTACTCTATTATATACCACTACGTAAGCTATAATAAATAGCTTTTATTGTTTGTTTAGTATATTTTTTAAAATTGAACAAAATAAAATATGTGATTAAAAAATAATATACTTTAATTTTATTATAAAATATAAAATAAAATACATTTTGTTTTGTCTGCATATCAATTACTACCTTCCTTTAACAACAATAAACTTTTTTATTCGCATTTATTTAATGTTTTTTTTTATTGTTACGTGCTCATGTAAAATTTGTTTAATGACTTCAATTTATTTTTTTATATTAGTAACGCTCGCGTCAAAACTTATTCAATAGTAACATAGATAAGTTTATTTTTTATTCTCTCCTTCTGAAATTTAATTTCTCATACATCCAATTTTTGACCATTCGTTTAATTAAAATGTGCATATATTTAATATTCCAACAAGTAAATTTGAAACAATTTTAATCATATTACTATTCACTTAGTTTGAATTTTAAATAGTGAAAAGAATTTATTCACCAAAAAAATTTAGAGAATTGATGAATTAGGCATGAAATAGTTTGTAAAACTTGTTACATATTGGAATGATCTTACGGCCTAATATATTGTGTTAGCTTGCAAAGGTACATTAAGGGGCCTATTTTCCCATAATATATTTGTGTTTTGGAATGATCTTACGGCCTAATATATTGTGTTAGCTTGCAAATGTAAGATGTAAGACATAAAGGTACACTCTTGAAGCTTTCGTCCATACCACATCTTCCTAAATACTTCGTCACTTGATAAATGCTGACCTACTTTATTACTAAACAGGTCAATTGGAATACTCAAAAATTAAATTGAGAAACAACCTGAGACCTAAGTAAGATTTTTGTCAACATAAAAATATAGTAAAACCTTTTCTAGCTTAAGGGCTCAGGACCACCTTCAGAGATAGATGTGAAGCCATTACTAATGTTACCATCATTCTGAAAATCAGAATACGTGGCCTCTTATACCAGGCACGTGCAACGGAGGAGGGGCACTCTTCAAACACATGGTTGGTGCTCGGAGCTTACGTTACTTGTTTAACATTTGCTGGGTTGTCTTGGACATTTTCGGAAATCGATAGACACTCTTTCACTCCTTCGTTCAACAAAAGTACAGTTATATTTTTTCAAAGAAATAAAAAATAAAAAATCAAACCCAAGCAAAGGATATCACGTTTTGATTCATTCACTGAACTAGACCCAAAAATTAGATTCAACCCCCTTTCTAACTCTTGTATTGAGGAAAAATAAAACAAACGAAATGCCACTGCCAAAACTTATACTTCCAAAAACGTTATGGTTTGGCTTTGGTCACTGTTCATACTTATCTCTAGTCAGTAGTCAAACAAAAAAAATCCAACAATGGTATATATTCATTTTTATTATATTAATTAGAGATTAATGTGTAACCGAAGAATGATTAGAGGGCTATTTAAATGGAAAACACTAAGTTTGGTGTTAAGTCTTAATTAGAGATAAAATCGTAATTTAGCAAAAATTGCTCAAACTTAGAGTTAATTGTGTGATACACTGCATTTGAGCCCAATGGCCGAAAACTATAAGTCATATGAAACTAGTGATTAAATGAATTAGTCAGATAGGAAATTACAAGGAGGAAAACATGGTAATCTCACCAAGAGATATTTCTAAAAATACCATGACCATCTCTCTCTTCACTTTTTCATTTTTCCCAACTCACTCTTTTTTCCTTTCCACCATCTCCCCTCCCCTCTTATTCCACCTCCATTGTGGTTTTAATTCAACTTCTTCAAGAAGCTTGGGCATTTGAAAACCTATTTTCGCATACCACGGTGAAAAAAAGGAAGGAGTTTTCTTCACCAATGGAGCTTGAGAGCTTCAATTCTTTAAGCCTTTGGGTGGTTTTAGGTGAGCTTTATTGGTTTTACCTTGAGTGTCTATGGATATGGGTTTTGGGTTAGGGTTTTCAAGAAGATATTTTTTTTGGCGCGGGAGAGGGGGGAGCGGAATGGGGTTTAATGCATAAATATGGAAATTGATGCTTAAACCTTGACTATGATGTGTAAGAATATTGTGTTATTGAAGACAGTGAGTGATATTAAATCACTAAGAGGTTTGAACCCATGTATAAAGCAGAGGAGGTAGACGGTCAGAATTATCACTGTGCAATTATGAATAAAAATTAAAACATACTTACTTGATGTCAGATGATGAAACAGACAGAATGAGAAATTAGATATGCAGAATCAGAAGAATAAAATTCGAGCCCACAGAATGTGTCTCCTTAAGACAATTTGCCCCTCACTAATGCCTAAGGTAGATGGACATTTGTCTCCCAAGATAGAACGAATTTCGTCTGAAGAGTGGCGGTACTACCAGTCAACAGCTCAAACGAACACAACAATATGCCAGAGGGATCACACCAGAGGATGAACATAAATATGCAAACCGGAAGGAAGAAAAATTCCGGCAGAGTTTCAGTGCAGAAAAAACAGATTAAATTTTTGAAGGTGTCAATGTCTATTTATAGACACTGACCGGTCAGGATGAACCGCCGCCGGCGGCAAACCGCCGTGTCTGACGACCGCGAACGGGTGCAACCGGTGACCGGTTCAGCGAACAAGTACAACCGGTGACCGGTTCAGTGAGCAGACACAACCGATGACCGGTTCGCGAAAGGAAAGAACTGGTTCGGTTCAAAATTGCTCAAAAAAACGGCGGGTAGAAACGTTTGGGTTTGAAATTTGGAGGGAAGCAACAGATTAATAAAAAATTATTTTTATTACACGCATATGAACCGAACAGAACCGAACCGATCCGAGCCGGCCGGACAGACGACGGAGGCGCGCGTGTGGTGGACCAAAGCTCACCTAGCTCGCTCTTCCCCTTCCATAAAATGTGTAGTGACCCAAGGGCCAATCTAAGAGAGTGAGGTGGGAGCTTATAAACTCTCCCACTTCCTACTAGTTGTCCAATGGGGGACTTGTTAATACCCACACACCCATTCAACTTCCATTTTCTCTTTTCTTTATGAACCCACTTCTTAATCATAACCAATGGATTATCAACATAAATTCCAACAATCCCCCACATGGATAAGAAGTCAAATCATCGTGACAAAAGATGCATAAGAGTATAAATGCAAAGTGTAATTTCCTCAACGAGAAACAACTGCATCGAGATAGGTAGAGTTACCTTTGAACCTTCTCTAGTGAAAACCTGTCGGATATACTCGGTCAATCGGTGGTCTGGCCGACTTGAACCGTCAACCTTTAGTATATACCTAGACAATTGGAGTCACGCAATTACTTCTCTAGCATTTTTGGTCCTTTGGTGTGCCCATTTGGGCCGTGGGAAACCTGCCTGGTTCTGCGAGTGTTTTTAGAGAATCGGCCTTGAAAAAATTCTCATAGAAGCGGCCCTCACTGCACACTCACATAGGTGATTTCTTGTGATGTAACCCACTATACATCATCTGAACACAACAGATTAAGAAATCATTAAAAGCCTAAGTGCTTACCCTCATAAATACACTGTCTTGTCATAGGAATGAGTATGAGTTTAAAAACTCCACAGTGTTTGAACAGTTGACTATCACTTAGTTGTCTCTTTGAACCTAGATCATGGGATCTCTACTCTTCTAGGTAGAGTTACCGCAATGCTCAACAATTGATAGGCCTTAAACCCTTTCCTTTCAACAAATTTTCAACCAATTCTCTAGGAATCCCTTTGGTTAACGGATCCGCTATGTTGTCCTTAGACTTAACATAGTCAATTGTAATGATTCCATTCGAGAGTAGTTGTCTTACAGTATCATGTCTACGACATATATGTCTAGACTTACCGTTATACATGATGTTCTTGGCCCTTCCAATAGCTGCTTGGTTATTACAATGTATGCATACGGCTGGTACCGGTTTTGGCCAATTAGGAATATCCTCAATAAAATTACGAAACCATTCGGCTTCTTCACTGGCCTGATCTAAAGCAATAAATTCTGCTTCCATGGTTGACCTTGTAATGCAAGTCCGTTTGGACGATTTCGAAGACACAACACCTCCACCAAGGGTGAACACACATCCACTTGTGGATCTAGTGTCGTTAGAGACGGTGATCCAATTTTCATCATAATACCCTTCTATAACTGCGGGGTATTTCTTGTAATGCAAAGCAAAATTTTGAGTATACTTCAAGTATCCCAAAACTCTTACCATAGTTTTCCAATGATTTTCATTTAGATTACTAGTAAAGCGACTTAACAGGCTTACTGCATAAGCAATATCTGGTCTGGTGCAGTTCATAACATACATAAGGCTTCCCAACACTTGAGCATATAGCTTTTGTGCTGTAGCTTTACCAGTGTTCTTTAATAAACTAAGATTAGAATCTACAGAGTTCCTCACAGGAGTTATATTCAAACTTTTGAATTTCTCAAGAACCTTAGCTATATAGTGAGCCTGTGATAAGGCCAACCCTGCAGATGTTCTATGGATTTTAATACTTAGGATAACATCTGCTATCCCCACATCTTTCATATCAAACTTACTCTTAAGTAACTTTTTAGTAGCTGTAATCATTTGATTATTACTACCCATGATCAACATGTCATCTACATAAAGACAGATAATGGCAAATCCTTTTTCAGTATTTCGAACATAGACACATTTGTCACATTCATTAATTCGAAATCCATTTGATAACATAACTTTGTCAAATTTCGCATGCCATTGTTTTGGAGCTTGCTTTAACCTGTAAAGGGATTTTATTAAGCAACACACTTTTCATTCTTGTCTTGGAACAACAAAACCTTCAGGTTGTTCTAAATATATCTCTTCTTCCAGGTTGCCGTTTAATAAGGCGGTCTTAACATCCATTTGATGTATTTCTAATCCATTCAATGCAGCTACCGCGATCAACGTCCTAATGGATGTGATCCTTGTAACAGGTGAATAAGTATCGAAAAAGTCGAGACCTTCACGTTGC